GATATAATTTTCATGAGTTTGTTCAACTTATTTAGCTGTAAAATATGGATGCATAGTTCGTTCAAGACCATATGCTAATCATTTTGTGAACACACTTTTAGATGTTTCTGCATATTCAGGTAAGTTTGCCTTCAATAAAAGTTTTCATTTTAATTTACAGTTATTTAGCCACGGTTCGTTTCACCAAACTGTTATAAACACCTTTTAGGTACTTTTTTTTATTTACTAATTATAAAACATGTCATACACTGAACGCTCATAACTGTTTCATACTCTGTACACTATTATAACTCCCATTATTATACTTTATTATTTACTTTACTTGTTGTTTTATTAAATAAACTTACATCTATGTGAGAATGTTTGTCTGACCACGTAAATTTTTTTCGAATAGACCAGGATTTATCGATCTAATAAACAAAGCCTGCAAGAAAGCGTAGCTTAAATGCCGTGCGTAGAAATGATAGAATAAGGAAAATTCAAATGAAGGGCATGAAAACTACCATAAATGTTTTGGGGGTCGCAGTTAGCATAGTGAAATATTTCCTACTGTTAACGTATCGAGACTGTTCTTACTGTTAATATATAGAGATTGTTCTTACTGTTAATATATTGAGATTGTTCTTACTTTAATACACTAAACCCCCGTGAAGTTTGTGAAGAGGAATTGTTGCTAAAAGTTGCTACTCCGCGGCGCTTTGAAATATATGTACTTAATGTTTCGTAACAGAAATGTGATCTGATTTGCAGTCCTAACAGTTGTGCCTGTCTATTATTGTTCCTGCTATAACAAAAATACACGCATTTCTTCTGTTCTATATATAATCTTTGGAATGAGGAAGACCAACGGTTCTAAAAAAAAACCTAATGCGCAAGATATTACAAAAAATGGCGTCTAGACCAAATTCATTCGCTACTAGGCCTACTCTATAATTAGTACGAGTGCGGATTACCGTAGTATGACACTAGTAGGACGATCACCCCATCTATACCGACGGGCCTCTTTATTTTAAGACCTTAGGACACCTTTTATCTGTTTCTCCTGGTGTACCTGCATTTTTCATTTCATATTAATTAACTGAGAGAATATGTTATTTTTAAAATATGGGAGACATGTTCTGGCATGTTCAGCTTATGTTAGTCGTCAATCCAAATGAATAAGTGACATGTTATTTAAAGGATTGTTTTATTTTGTTTGATTCATGTCAATTTTATGGCACACAATTTACAATCGACATATTTTTTTAAACGTATCTACCACAGTAGGTCGTAGAAGTAATTATCATTCTTTCTGTGTTTACCTTATTGGTATACAAGTATTTGAAATAAAATTCCCACGAAAACTGTAGTAATTTTTAGAAATAAATTTAGTAGACATTACATGATGTGGTTTTGGTGAAAGAAACTCAAAAATGAAAGATATTCCGGAAATATCAAGAAATGAAAGTAAGGAAAAGTTTGGCGGATTCTATGATTAACTCCATGATTTATCAATGTATTGGGGGAAAAATTTTGCAGCGTGTGATGCTGTCCTCTTTTGGTTAAAAAGTAAATTCCACACGCTTCTTACTACCGCTTATGAACATTTTCAAAATGATCATAACCAAATTTTAATTTAGTTTTACACTTTTAATTTTAAAATGACAGTTTAAGCATATCAGTGACAGTTGTAAGTTATACGCACGTTTTCTGTACAGTGTTATTTTTATATAGATGAATATTTGTACGGCCTCAGCCTTGAATAAGTTGTTTAGACCACTGGTATCAACAGGGAAATTTCAACCAGTCTGCAAGACAGTTGAAAAATAAAATATAATGTATATTTTAAAATATACTACCATTTTAATAATTTAAGTAATTTAAAAGTAATTTTCAAAAATTAGTATTAATGATACAGAGCGGTTCGAGAAATTTTAGTGTTACGTCTCCGTTTGTTAATTAACTTTCCGTAACTTCGTTCCGACGAAACTTTAGCGACACAAATCCTTACTTCATAAAACTGGTTTATTCTTTCTGAATACAACTTTACGATACACTTATTTTCAACAATCACACGAAAACAAACGCTATATCAACGAACGTCAACAATACTTCTGACTGCAGTTCAATTTACTCACTATCTACACACACACTATTGTCCCGTCACGTTGTCACCCTCTTTTATATACCAGACTATCCTATATCTAGTAAATACTAGAGCATTCGCCAAGGTACAGGATAGTTCTAGAAAATAGGTGGAGCCACACCAGTCACGTGACCTCGATGACGCAACATTAGGTTCGGAACTAGTTAGTCTTCACTTAAAAAAAGGTTGGGAAGGTTTAGATCAAAGATTTATATGAAAAAAGGTTGGGAGGGACTGGTTTAGATCACAGATTTATATGAAAAAAAGGTTGGGAAGGACTGGTTTAGATCACAGATTTATATGGAAAAAAAAAGGTTTAGAAGGACTGGTTTAGATCACAGATTTATATGAAAAAAGGTTGGGAAGGACTGGTTTAGATCACAGATTTATATGGAAAAAAGGTTGGGAAGGATTGGTGTAGATCACAGATTTATATGGAAAAAAGGTTGGGAAGGATAAGTGTAGATTGCAGATTTCTATGGAAAAAGGTTGAGAAGGACAGGTTTAGATCACCAATTTATATGAAAAAAGATTGGGAAGGATAGGCGTAGATCACAGATTTCTACGGAAAAAAAAGTTGAGAAGGACAGGTTTAGATCACTGATTTATATGGAAAAAAGGTTGAGAAGGAAATACACAATACACAAGTTACATCTTAGTGAGTAGCACCTAATGTAAGTTCAGTCATCAAACACATCAATACACAAGTTACATTTTGTTGAGTAGCACCTGATGTAAGTTCAGTCACCAAACACTTCAAGTGTTTTGTGACTGAACTTACATCAGGTGCTACTCACCAAGATTTAACTTGTGTATTGAAATGTTTGGTGACTGAACTTACATCAGATGCTGCGCACCAAGATATAAACTTGTGTATTGAAGTGTTTGGTGACTGAACTTACATCAGGTGCTACTCACCATGATTTAACTTGTGTAATGAAGTGTTTGGAGACTGAACTTACATCAGGTACTGCTCACCAAGATGTAACTTGTGTATTCAATACAAAAGTTAAATCTCGGTGAGCAGCACCTGATATAAGTTCAGTCACCAAACACTTCAATACGTAAGTTACATTTTGTTGAGCAGTACCTGATGTAAGTTCAGTCACCAAACACTTCAATACGTAAATTACATCTTGGTGAGTAGTACCTGATGTAAGTTCAGTCACCAAACACTTCAATACGTAAGTTACATTTTGTTGAGCAGTACCTGATGTAAGTTCAGTCACCAAACACTTCAATACGTAAATTACATCTTGGTGAGTAGTACCTGATGTAAGTTCAGTCACCAAACACTTCAATACGTAAGTTACATCTTGGTGAGTAGCACCTGATGTAAGTTCAGTCACTAAACACTTCAATACACAAGTTTATATCTTGGTGAGTAGCACCTGATGTAAGTTCAGTCACCAAACACTTCAATACGTAAGTTACATTTTGTTGAGTAGTACCTGATGTAAGTTCAGTCACCAAACACTTCAATACGTAAGTTACATCTTGGTGAGTAGCACCTGATGTAAGTTCAGTCACTAAACACTTCAATACACAAGTTTATATCTTGGTGAGTAGCACCTGATGTAAGTTCAGTCACCAAACACTTCAATACGTAAATTACATCTTGGTGAGTAGTACCTGATGTAAGTTCAGTCACCAAACACTTCAATACGTTAGTTATATCTTGGTGAGTAGTAACTGATGAAAGTTCAGTCACCAAACATTTCAGTACACAAGTTACATATTGTTGAGTAGCACTTGATGTAAGTTCAGTCACCAAACACTTCAGTATACAAGTTACATTTTGTTTAGTAGCATCTGATGTAAGTTCGGTCACCAAACATTTCAATATGTAAGTTACATTTTGTTGAGTAGCACCTGATGTAAGTTCAGTCACCAAACACCTAAATACACTAGTTATATCTTGTTGAGCAGCACCTGATGTAAGTTCAGTTACCAAACACGTGAATACAGAAGTTACATTTTGTTGAGTAGCACCTGATGTAAGTTCAGTCACCAAACATTTCAATACGTAAGTTACATCTTGGTGAGCAGCAACTGATGTAAGTTCATTCACCAAACACTTCAATACACAAGTTTATATCTTGGTGAGTAGCACCTGATGTAAGTTCAGTCACCAAACATTTCAATTCACAAGTTACATCTTGGTGATCAGCATACCATGTAGATTTAAACCCAAAATTCTAATATTACAAAGAGATTGATGAACCTGAGTTTTTAAATAAATGGGATAATTATATACTTTAGTGCCTAATTTGTTGTGTGGGCTTTTTTTTTAATTGATGTGAGAATTGTGTAAGAAATTAATATTGCTTGGATTTTAATTTTACTTCTACTCCCAGTATCAAGCAGCAAGTGAAAGCTTACAATGCTAAACACCAGGTTTCGATACCTGTGGTAGGCTCCTGACAGATAACCCTTTGTGAGCTTTACAATTAACTATAAACAAACAATTTTACTTTTTTGCAAAATCATATGTATGTGTCAATTTATTTCTGTTCCCGAAGTAAAGTTGAACTTTAAATATCATAAACAGATTTTTTACAATTAACTTGAATTTACTATTTGTGTACAGTTTAAAAAAATCACATTGAAAGCACAAAGAATTTGAATTATATGTGTTGAATTTTTTGTTATAGATAATCTTATCAAACTTAAGAACAATCAGTGTTGTGGTTGTATGTATTGTGTTCAGATACTCTTTTAAACAATCAGTGTAGTGTTGTATGTATAGTGTTCAGATACTCTTTTAAACAATCAGTGTTGTGGTTGTATGTATAGTGTTGTGTTCTAATGCTCTTTTATGTTAAAATTGTTGTAGCTTAATTAAATAACCAAGTAAGAATATTTTATTCTCCAGATGAACAAGAAAGAGTACAGAAGAAAGTGTTCACAAACTGGATTAATCACTATCTAGCTCAGGTAGGTTCTTATCTTTCTGCACTCTTTAAACATGGATAAGTCACTATCTAGCTCAGGTAGGTTTTTATATTTCTGAACTGTTTAAACATGGATAAGTCACTATCTAGCTCAGGTAGGTTTTTATATTTCTGAACTGTTTAAACTTGGATAAGTCACTATCTAGCTCAGGTAGGTTCTTATCTTTCTGCACTGTTTAAACATGGATAAGTCACTATCTAGCTCAGGTAGGTTTTTATATTTCTGAACTGTTTAAACATGGATAAGTCACTATCTAGCTCAGGTAGGTTCTTATATTTCTGAACTGTTTAAACTTGAATAAGTCACTATCTAGCTCAGGTAGGTTTTTATATTTCTGCATTGTTTAAACATGGATAAATCACTATCTAGCTTGGGTAGGTTTTTATATTTCTGCAATGTTTAAAGATGGATAAGCCACTATGTAGCTAAGGTAGGTTTTTATATTTCTGCACTGTTTAAACTTGGATAAGTCACATCTTTGTGTATATCTCAAATGGGATTGTTTAGAATTTGTGATTGAAAACATTAAAATTCTGAATAATCCAATCGTTTTATCAACCTGTTTACCGATTGTAGTGAGGCTGAACATGGCTTCATTGTGAACTTGCTCGGATTGTAAATCCATAGCTTTGTGGCTCACGACCCGTTGCCACGTTTTGGGGCTTGTGTGTACTATAAGTGTGACAGTAAAGTACCATTATTCGGTATTCACTATCTAGCTCAGGTACTGTTTAAACATGGATAAGTCACTATCTAGCTCAGATAGGTTTTATTTTTTATTTTTGTGTACTGTCTAAATATGGATAAGTCACTATCTAGCTCAGGTAGGTTTTTATCATTGTGTACTGTTTAAACATGGATAAGTCACTATCTAGCTCAGATAGGTTTTATTTTTATTTTTGTGTACTGTCTAAATATGGATAAGTCACTATCTTGCTCAGGTAGGTTCTTATCTTTCTGCACTGTTTAAACATGGATAAGTCACTATCTAGCTCAGGTAGGTTTTTATATTTCTGAACTGTTTAAACATGGATAAGTCAGTATCTAGCTCAGGTAGGTTTTTATATTTCTGAACTGTTTAAACTTGGATAAGTCACTATCTAGCTCAGGTAGGTTCTTATCTTTCTGCACTGTTTAAACATGGATAAGTCACTATCTAGCTCAGGTGGGTTCTTATTTTTCTGCATTGCTTAAACATGGATAAGTCACTATCTAGCTCAGGTAGGTTTTATCTATATACACTGTTTAAACTTGGATAAATCACTATCTAGCTCAGGTAGGCTTGATTTTTTATCATTGTGTACTGTTTAAATATGGATAAGTCACTATCTAGCTCAGATAGGTTTTATTTTTTTGATCACTTTGTACTGTTTGAACATGGATTAACCACTATATAGTTCAGGTAGGTTTTTATCATTCTGTATTTTTTAAACATGGATAAGTCACTATCTAGCTCAGATGGGTTTATATCGTTCTGTACTGTTTAAAATGGATTAACCACTATATAGTTCAGGTAGGTTTTTATCATTCTGTATTTTTTAAACATGGATAAGTCACTATGTAGCTCAGATGGGTTTATATCGTTCTGTATTGTTTAAAATGGATTAACCACTATATAGTTCAGGTAGGTTTTTATTATTCTTTAGCTACATCCTGTAGTGTATAAAGTTGGATAATCCACTTTTCTTCAGAGTTTTTCTTTTAATTTATCTTGAAGTTTGTCTCATTGTTTAACTGACACAAGTTTATTAATCTATAACTATCTTCTTCTGTACATAATCCACTACCTGAACAATTATCTTGTGTGACATAGTTTAGGTATTTAAGAAAATGAAAAAATTAATTAATTTATCTAAATTTTTGTTCATACTCTCTGAAAAATTATGTTTTAAAACTTAAGCTTTGTTGTTGACCCAAGTTTGTTTGTAAAATATACAGAAGATTTGTACTACTGGATTTTAGAATGTTTATCAAGATAGTTTGTTTATAGCTCTTAATTAGTGCCTGTGTTATATATGTTCTTCAGCTTGTTGACAATGGAGGAAGGAAAATGCACTCTAGTGTTTTACATAATTGTTTTTATGTAAAACCACATGCTCATTATATTTAACAAATATATATCTAGAGAAATGTAGAGTGAAAATGGATGACAAAGATATAATTTCTATTTTGTCAGCATTTTCAACTTTGTTTAAATTTGTATGGACATTAACTACCATTTTTCTTTTTCCTTGGATGATATTTCAGGCTTCATTCTGAGCTCATCTTCAGGTCACAAATAAAGATGTAAATAAGAATCTCATTCAGGAAGATAACAATGTTTCTAAATTTAGCCACAGTTGGCATCAAACCAGAATGAAAAACATTGGAAAATAATGAATCCAGTGCTAATAATACTTTATGCATGTGTTACCGGTTCTTTACAGATATTACTGATATTTCCAAAACATACTTACCTCCTCTGGCACTATAGCTATTTCTCTATCTCCAGGGTTTCCACTCTTTGACCATCTGAGCATTGAAAACACTTGCTCCAGTCTTTTATACCCCACTTGAATACCCTTGGTACATTCTAATTTGTAAAATTCTTCACCAACTTCAATGCACCCTCTATCTAAGTACTGTATATAAACACCTCATTCAGATAATATAATCACTTTTTCTTGACATTCAGCACGGGTTTCTATAAATAGGAGTGTTGTGATTATTCACAATTGATGTTGCGACTTTGAACATGGTTAGCATTACTAAAGTTATATCTTTGTATATATTTATAAATTACTTTATTAAAAAAATAAACGTACTGATGGGTATGAATTCCCGAGTTAACCTTTCTACTATGGAGGCCGATCGGACCTCTTCTCTTCCACCTCTGCTATCTGGCATTTGTCAATGGCCAGGGGAGAGGTCACTCTCAGTCAAAGATATGATTCATCGTGAGATGGAGTTATATATTTGGACTGAGGGTGTCTCTCCGGGAGGTTCTGAGGTGGCTTTTGCAAATGACCCAGCACCAGCTGGAGAGTATTTAGACTTGCTTTCTCTGGCTCCTCCTTTTACTAGGTCAGCCTCAACAGAGGATCATTGTGATCAGCCACCTCCAGCCCCTATTCTTCAGTTGGTTACTCGGATTTGTGAGGTTTTGGGGGTCTCTCCTATTGCATTTGACTCTACCTCTTCCTTGTTGGCAAGAAGGATGACAAGTGACTACTTGACTCTACCCCTTCCATGTTGGCAGGAAGGACGATGAGTGACTACTTGACTCTACCCCTTCCTTGTTGGTAGGAAGGATGACAAGTTACCACTTGTCTCTACCCTTTCCTTCTTGGCAGGAAGGATGACAAGTGACTACTTGGTTTTTCCTTCTTCCTTGTTGGCAAGAAGGATGACAAGTGACTACTTGACTCTACCCCTTCTATGTTGGCAGGAAGGACAATGAGTGACTACTTGACTCTACCCCTTCCTTGTTGGTAGGAAGGATGACAAGTTACCACTTGTCTCTACCCTTTCCTTCTTGGCAGGAAGGATGACAAGTG